GATCTGTTCACAATGGAAATCTGATATTGGCCACATTTAAAACAACAATGTGAACAGCTATACAAAGCTATACTTAGTGCGGAATTGAGCACTAAGGCTCGCAGTGTGAACGTAGCCTCAGTTAACTACAACTGAAGCTGTGCTTCATGTCTACTTTTACAGTAAACTGGTATAATCCCTAGCAGGGCTGCTCATGCAGTCAAGGTCAAAAGGCCATCGTGGGGTGAAAGAGATCAAGATGAAATGCTATGAATTGGCTTCTAGCAGGATCCCTGCTGCCCAACTACCCACTGAGAAGATGACACAGATGCCCACCTCTTCTCGAAACCCCCACCCCAGGGCAGTCCTCGCGTCTCTCCATGAGGTCTCACAATGACCTTTTGTTTTGAAGGCAGCATGGTCAGGCAGGTGAACTAACCTCCGGCCCCCGCACACAACCTTGAGAGACACAGCATGCACCATGGCAACCAGTGCATCCACTGAGGACTAAAATTTCATTCACACCTCTCCAACAAATAGTCTTTAATGCTTTAACTGCTGCAAAGTCTTCTGGGCCAATCCCAATCTCCAATGTGGAGAATTTCTCAAAAATCTTAAACCTCACTTTCTCACAAGGGGAAGGACACAGCTAGAGAAGCCTGTGCCATGCCTTTATGTAACACTTTATTTTAGCCTAATTAGAGCTGCTCCTGACCTCCCATCATCCTTTGCGGCCCATGGTGTGTAGACATTTCACACTTCAGAAGTTTGTAAAAAGCCTCTGCAAGTGTCATAATTTGGGGGCTGCACAGCAATCTTGAATGCACAGTACTCTTGAACTAGGTTACCATGAGAACAGATACACCGTCAGAGAGCTCTCACCACACATAAAAACAGATAGAGTCCCTGCATGGATAAAACTGCACTAATTCCATACACACCGAAACACATGTCCTTGACATTCATCACACATGAACATTTTCCGTAAAAAAAAAAAAACTTTTATGCAAATCCTCTCAATAATGTGTGTCTTTGAGGGCCTGTTTCACCTTCAAAGCTTAAAACAGCTTTAAATGAATAAATTTCACACCGGGAGCGTGGAGACTGATAACATTACTTGAAGGACGATGAGAGAGCATGAAAATTAAGAGAGAACAACAGAGAGGGAGAGAGGATGGGGGACTGAATGAGCGTAGAGGTAGGTCTGTCGCAATAATCAATATATCGACTTATCGCACAATATATGTACATGACCTCAATAATTTTTGGTGATGCAATATATTGCCCATTATAGTTACATAAAAATTAATGTCACCATGTTTTTTGCATTCCACTTGTGCCTGTGTCTTTTGCAGCTTCTCGTACATAACGTGGTGTAGTTGGTGCAAGTTCAAATTTTAAAAATGCTTCTACAAAAAAGTTTCATCAGCAGATATGGCCTTGTTTAGGGATCTGTGCCTTTGTGCATACGGACATCTGACTGCTAAGTAGTGATTGTGTTTTTCAGCAATAGTGTGCACCCTTAATTTACAGAGAAAAGAAGGTCCGGGAAAAATCT